TCTTAGAGTTTTCTAGTATACCCAAGAGTTTTTATGGATTCCTTCCTCTAGTCCCCTCCTTGTCTTATTTAGAGAATTGTTTCTCTAACCTATAAGCATCAGGAAATAACCAGAGGAGCAGGTGAAGAACCCAGACCCTGACATTTGGGTACCTCAGGCGCCGTCTTGGCGGAGAGGCACCAAGCAAGGCATGCTGGGGCTTCCCAGACTGAGACGTCTGTCAGCAAGGCTCAGGAGGCTCCCCCTCAGGCAAATGACAAGACATATAGCAAGTTCTGAGCTCAATGTCTGAGGATAGGAAGAAAATAAAATGAGGAACAACTGCAAGGGCAGCAGGGAAGTTTGGAGCAGGAGACTTCCCAGGAAGTCAGGGGGGTCATTCAGGAGAAGTTGGTAGATAAAGTGATACTATTCAACTGAATTCCTAGAAACCCATACTGAAAGACCACACACACACACACACACACACACACACACACACACCAGCACCTCCTTACCCAAGGAGATCAATTCAGTACAGTGAACTAGCGGCAGCCCACTCACTACTGTGCAGCTAAAACATCCACCATTTCATATGGGCCTCAGTTTCTCTTCTTTGTCTCTCACTCCCCTTCTCCAACCTGGCTCCTGAAGTGCTTGGAGACTTCTGCAGGGGGGATTGGAGGGTTATGAGTCTGACATAACCTGGCCTAAGCACTGCCCTCCCAACAACCAGCAAGGATGGTGATTAGCTGCTCTCCCCAAGGCTCAGAAGTAAGGGATTTTTTTTTCTTTCAAACATGTCACATCTGGCACATCTGCTTTCCTAGCAATGATGCATCCCAAGGGGTATAATCAGCAGTTGAGGCGGGGCTGGGATACACGTCTGTACTGACAGAAGCCTGAGCCAGAGACGCCCAGAGCAAAACTTAAGAACATGGACTACCCCCACTCCCCTCTCCCTCAGGGGCTGAAGATGAGCCTATCTGGATGCATCTTTCTGCCTTAGAGCCAGGCGCCCTCCTCACAGCCCAAAACTACTTGTGGGCACAGAAGATAATGCGATGGTAGATTTTGCTTTGGAAATTATATAATCTTCTCTCTTATCCAACATTAAACTCTCCTACTAGAATTAGAAGGGGACTGGAAAAGAACCGCTCACTCCTTCCCCTGTCACAAGCTCAGAAGCAACAGTGAGAAAGGTCTATTGTGTCTTCGTCTATTTTTGTACTTCTCTCTCCCCCTGTTCTCTTCCTTATGTTTCTTAAACTGAAATACCATCAAACAGCACTTCCTATGGGATGTCTCTCTTGCTCCTGCTCCACTTTGCTATGACACCTTCATTCAGACTCTGTTCGAGCTAGACAAGATGGCTTCTTTTTTCTTGAGAGAGGTTTTTGCTATAGGGCACATGCGCTCACCAGAAAGAGAGAGACAGAGAGACAGAAAGCAAGAAATCACCCCCCAGGGGGATGGCCACGCTGCAATCCCTTCTCCTCCATTCTCCTCTCAGGATCTTGGGCACGCACACACACGTGCATGGCGTGAGTTTAAGCCACTGGGTCTGGGACTCGAACCACGGTCGACTACATGGGAGTTCAACGACATAGCTATTACACCAACTGCTGGCCCCAAGATGGCTTCTTTCCATGCAAAATTCTCTCTTTCTACCATAAAGGTAATTCTTCTCTCTCATCAAAGACACCCTCCTAAACCTCCTCTTCCAAACACTTCCTCAAAGTCCCTCCTGCAGGAAGCCTTCGGTTGATAAGCAAGGCATTTTGCTCCCATAGTCGCTCTCCATCTTCCATCCCTGCCCTGGTCTCTGCCCTCGTCCCATTATGTCTATGCTGTCGTTGTCCTGGGTGTGCATAACATCATTGCCACCACTTCATGTCTCCTGTGTCCTCTTCCAGGCTCTGTATACTCAAATGTTTCTTGATGGAGTGGAGGAAGGTTGCTGGGTGGGAGAGAGACATGGGGCCTAATACCTATCTGCTCTTCCAAAAAGATATAACCAACATCCACACACACACACACACACCAAGCCATCCCAAAGATGACTGAGCTTGTCAGAAATAAATCATGTTTGGCTTTCAAATGCAACAGTAATTACACGGTATCTTAACTATCTGTGCAAACTGTCAGAGAAAATATATTGGCAATTTAGTGAAAGAGGAGGGGGAGGTTGGAGCATCCATTGAACACCACCCTCACCTTCTCTGAAGTCATCCGGAGATAGGACAGCACAGAAGGGCAAAGGCATGCCAGGGCCAGTCCCAACACTTCTGGAGCTTAATGGTTTTTCAGGTGAGATGTGCTGTCACACGCTCCCAGGGAGGAGGGGACATTTGGAATGAATTCTATGTATCACCAGTCTTGTAAGGTGTTGTGAGCAGCAGCCGGAGGGATTTAGGCTAAGTTTTTTTAAAGACAACCTGACCAAGTATATTCTGGAAACAGAGGTCCTAGAGAGATCCAGTCCTCTTCGCTGAGAGGTTTAGTCTAACCTTTTGTTCCCAGATAGAACAAGATTCAGACTATTTCAGAAAGGGGGAGAGTAATGTTTGAAATATTCCATTTAAAATTTAAAATGTATTAATTTATTCAAATATGTCCCTGTATCTGGGTTTAGGATTACTTCACTGTTTAGTTATATTAGTTACAATTTAAGGTGCTACCGTCCCTATTTCTACTCTCTAACATCCTCCCAATCCCAGATTGACATGTGCCTCAGCTTCCCTTTCCCTAGACTCATTGCTCACCCATTCCTCATTCATATATTTCCGCCATGGTTTTACAGAACTCAGACTGCTGAGTTTCAGAAAGAGGACTCTAAAGATATATTGAACATGGGCTGTTCAGGGGAGGAGGAGATGTGAAAGGGAGGCAGAGTGAGGAGGGGGAGAACAGATGGAGGTGAGAGGATTAGAATCTTATTCCTGAGGAGTTTAATGAGTGGAAAAGGGCAGGAGGAGGAAGAAAGAAGTAGAGACTTCTCGTGGACCCTTCAGCTCATTTCTTGCCTCAGTGCAGGTTGCATATACATCCACTTGGTTACTCAAATGCCCAATCACAGAAATGTATTGTCTAAAGCTAAGAAAACAATTACGTATCTATCAAGAAATTGCTATGGACATTTCTTTCTTTCTTTTAGGGTTTTGTCATAGGGTGTATGTACTAGCCTGGTTGGGGAGCGATACAGAGAAACTATGAGAAGGAAAGTGAAAAATCACCCCCTGGGAGGATGGCCATGCCACAATCCCTTCTCCTCTATTCTCATCCTGGGATTTTGCGTTCATGCCTATTGTGATTTTTCAAGCCACCACACTGGGGACTTGAATAACTGTTGACCAGGTGGAAGCCCAGCACCTTAACCACTATGCAACCCGTTGGCCCCACATATGGACATTTTTCACGTGTGCATGCATAGGTTTACAAGGGAGAGAGCATGTCACATGTGGCAGCAGAGGGCAGGGTCTCCTTCTCTAGAGATATTAGAAAACCAGATGGAACTCATCTTTCTAGTGGGTTCTGGATAATTCATTCTTATATCTTCCCAGAACTTCCTGCTCTAATAACTTAAAAAAAAAGTACAGTATATTCTCTTTTTTTTGTATTTATTTAATTTTGTTTATTAATATTATTCTTCAATTTGACCAGAGAGAAAGAGGAAGCAAGCTGCCAGGTACAGGACTTGAACCATGATCAGTCATGTAGGAGTTCAGCACCTTAACCATCATGCCACCTGCTGGCCCCCAGTGTATTCTTTTTCTTTTTTCTTTTTAGAGAGATTTTTACTATAGAGCACGTGCACTCACCAGAGAGACAGAGAGACAGAAAACAAGAAATCATACCCCAGAGGGGATGACCATGCCACAATCCCTTCTCCAATTTCCTCTTGGGATTTTGGGCACACAAACACACACAACCCACACCTGGCATGAGTTTCAAGCTGCCAGGTCCAGGACTTGAACCAAGGTTGACTACATGAGAGTCCAGTGATGTAACCATTACACCATCTGCTGCCCCCCCACAATGTATTCTTAATATAAATAAAGTGTTTCAAAAGAATAAACGGCAACCTCCATTTCCCTCCATGTAGAATCCAGTTGAATTCTCTTTGGTTCGACACACCAATCATCTCGCTTGGCTTACAAATCCCTCTGTCCAATGAACAAGATTCTCTCCATTTTTCTCACAAGCTCTATTTTCATGTATGTCCTACAAGATCAGTACCAAATCCCCCTGGAGCTAATGTTCAGTAGGTTTATAACTATCCCAAAAGCAACCACTCTACCTAGGGGCTAAACACAGTACAGCAGTCATGCGAGTGGCAGACATTCAAGACAGCAAGAGAATTAGTATCCCCCTCCCCCACAGTGGTCGGCACAGACTTCCCACTTCCCCAGTGGGGTTATTCATATGCTATGGACAGAGAACTAGAGAGGAGAGTTTGCCAGTTTGCCAAAGATGGAGTTCCTAAGTCAGACCATTCCCCAAATTCCTAGTTTTCTAAAGATCCAGCATCCCTGAACTCCAGACACTGCAGAGCTGAGATTTCCCGCCCTGTCCCCACAGAGCCGTGAAATCCAGTTATAAGGCAAACAAGGCCGTGTTTGTCCCATAAAACCACTGTGTGCGAGCTAATTAAATGACATCATAAAACAGGGAGATAAATGCAGGCAGCAGGGAGCCCATCTAGGGATGGGGATGGGATCAGATGGGTGGCTGAAATAAAGACATGCCAAGAGAAGAGTTGGGAGCGAAGATCCTCAACCTCAAGAGTCCTTACTAGCTTCTAACTAGCACCCAGTGAGGGTAAGAGGGTTTGAAACTAGAACGAAGCAAAGGGACCCCCACAAATGTGGACCTTCCCCCTCCTTGTGCATTCGCTCCCAAAGATTCTTCATGTAACAGGTAAACCAATTTGCATATGTATCCATAGTCCTACACAGAGATGCCTATAAGGAATGCAGTATACACAAAATTGAAAATTATTTAAATGAAAATTAACTCACACAAATGAGATCATTGTCCTCCATAACATCATAACTGAGTTAGGCATCTTCTACTGAAATGCAGGGATTTGTAAGTCATAACCTTGGGAATTTCCTAGAGACAAAAAAAAGGTCTGATTTTATGATCTCTGAGCACACTAAAAACACTTAAAAATGATACAAGTGATACATGTTTACTACTTCCCCTGCATAGAAACCAATTGAGAATGTAACCAATATGATATATATCCAGATAAAATAAAATTCACATTCTTATTTGGTCACATGGCCAAGAGATCCTCTGGTTGCAGTGGAATGGATGAACTGGTCAAGTCGCTTGTCTCAGACATAAGAACTCACAGAATTCCTGAAATAAGTTTGGTTTCATTTATAGATCTTGGGGCTAGCCAAGAAGTATGTTGGTTAAAGTGGCTGAATCCTATATGACTGACTGCACAGTTCGAGTCTCAGACCTGGTGTCTTGAAAAATACACAAGGCATGTGTGTGTGTGTGTGTGTGTGCGCGCACAAAATCCTGAGAGAAGAATAGAGAAGAAGCAATTGCACCATGGTCATCTCCCTTGGGGGGGTGCTTTCTCATTTTCCCTTTCTCTCTCGCTCTCTTTTCAGTGAGTGCACATGCCCTACAGCAAATATAAACAAACAAAAATATATAGATGTAGTTTTTTTTTTTGAGAGAGATATTTTTGCTATAGGGTGCATGCTCTCACTGGAGAGACAGAGACAGAGAGACAGAAAGCAAAATAATCACCACCACCACCACCCGAGGGGGAATGGCCATGCCACAATCCCTTCTCCTCTATTCTGCTCTTGGGATTTTGGGCATGCACACACACACACACACACACACACACACACACACACACCCAGCATGAAATTTTTAAGCTGCCAGGTCCAGGACTCAAACCACAGTCAACTATGTGGGAGTCTAGCAACATAACCATTATGCCATCTGCTGGTCCCGGTTTAGATCTTCTTAGGCAAAGTAAGAGTGCGCCTTAGGAACATCTTTTATACCTACCCTCTTTCATTCCCAGTCTATCTGCCTAGGGCATATCTTCTACTGTTATACCTAGGCTCACATCTCATTCAAAGTTCAATTTAAAGTTCGATTTCTCACCTCCCTGCCCCTTCCCAAAGATGCTAGTGTCAGAAGGGAAAGTTGAGGTTGAGGAGAAGGCCCAGATTAATAAGGCAAATTCAGACAATCTGTTGTTTGTTCATTGATTGATTCATTCATTCATCAACATCCTTTCATTCAATAGTTATTAATATCCTTCTAGGTACCAAGTGCAGTTTAGGAACTGAAGATACAAAAATTAATGGCGCCGGCCCTGGTTGTCAGAAAAGAATCTTGATTTTCTAAACTACCAGTCTTAACATCACCATTCTCCAGTGACTTCTTTTTTTCTGCTGAATGTGCAGAAAACTGAAACCTTGAATCACTGGCAATAGAGGAGATGATCTACCTGGACACCTAAGTTCCTGGCCTGGCTCCACCCTGACTCCTCAGGCAGTTCTGGACAAGTCATGGACTCAGTTTCTCTACCTGGGAAGCGGAGGAGGCTCTCACTGACTAGTCCTCAACTTCACAGAGTAGCTTGGTGATTAATGGGTTAATGTCCGTGGGAGGCTTTGAGCTCCTGGGATGAAAGGCACCCTAAAGTCCTGACTCTATTGGAAACTCTGCCCAGCCAGCAAGATACCCTGAAACCAGAAAGGGGGCCTTTGATCATATATTAAGGGTTGTCTTTAGAAAAATGAACTAGAGGGAATGAGTTAAAACAGCAGTGGGAATTAAGGTAGCCTTAAAAGAAAAAAAAAAAAAAAGGACTTTCTGGCTCCTCGGTAGAATTTCTTTCTCTGGAGTTGTTTATCTTACACCTACCTATAGAGCGAGGTGGTCTAGATCATCCCAGAAACTTTTTTTGGACATCCTGACTTGATGTCAGATACTGACAAGTATTTAATCCTTAACGGGGCCCCCTCCCTCTCGGCATGAATCAAGCACCTTCCAGACTCTATCAGTTGGTAGTAAGGATAAAGAGTAATAATCCCTTGAATATTTAACAAAATCTTTGTTCAACAAAGTTAAATGTGCAAAATTTTGTTAAATGGTTAATGGGAAATCTATCAAGTATTCATTATCAGGAAAAAGTGTACAGCTTTAATATTGAACTTAAAAGCTGAGGTAGGTCCAGTCACGGTAGCATAGACAGTAGGAGCAATGCTACTATGCTGGAGGCCTATGGGAAGACTTCAGGTTCAGATCCCAGGCCTACCTGAACATTCTGGGCTTGCTCATGGCTGTGCTGGTGATCTTGGCTGACTGCAGGGCTGTGGGGAGGATCACAGCATGAAGACTCTATTGAAGGTGCCTATCTTTCTCTATTTTTCTCTATCTCTAGCCCATGGAAATAAATTTTAAAACTTTTTTTTTAAAATGCTGGGGTAAAATTAGGCATGCTGGCTAGTGCTTATAGTCCTAGCTACTTGAGGTACAGGATAACAAGACCCTCTCTAAAATACACATATATACCCCCCCCCCTCAAAAAAGCTGCCATTATGGAGTTAGACTTAAGTTCAAATACCAGCTCTGCCATTTACCAATTATATAACTGTAAGCATGTTGCTTCAACTTAAATAGCCTTGGCCTCAGTTTAATCAACTGAAAAAAGGGCAATAATAACAATTCCAACATCATATGATATTTTAAGGATTAAATTGGAACTCTGACACTATTGAGAGTCGACAAGGGTGGAAAAATAACAGGTACACTCAGATACTCTGGCCAGAGGGAAAAGTGGTACGACTACTTTGGAAACACAAACTTGGTATTACTGAATAAACTTCACATACCCCATAACCCAGAAATTCCACTACTAGGTATATACCATACAAAATGTGGGTGCGCATGTAACGATGGCTGACCATCAAATCCCAGCCTCAATGGCTCGAAAAACACACCAAGCATGCCTGCGTGTGTGCCTCAAAACCCATGAGGAAGGAGAAAATGGAGGAGAAGGGATTGTGGCATGAACATTCTCCATTAGAAGGTGCTTTCTCCCTCTTTTCTCTCTCTCTCTCTCTGGAGAGTGCATGCGCCTTTTGGCAATTTATAAAAACTAACTAAATAGAAATCTTTAAAAAAAGGATTTCAGAGCAGTGTTGCTTTCTTTTTTATTTTATTTAATATTTTTTACATTTTCCCACATTTGCTTTACACATCAAAAATTTTTGCAGTTAATTTGACAGTTAATAGACAAATAACTTTCAAAATTCAAAAAAACTGAATTTTAATGATAATTTTCAAAATATTTGTTGTAATTTTGTTTGTGACTCTATCATAACAGAGACAGTATAGTTTTTTATATATATATATA